AATCTAAACATACTGTTTCATTCTAAAATTTTAGAATTTGTTCATTATGTTTGTATGATTGAAGTCACTCAGGAAGTTAAATATCTCTGTGTGTATATTTTTACATTGAAAATACAGTGTTAGTATAAATCCCCCTTTTCAGGAAAAACAAAAAAGTCAATGTATGGTCAGACAAAATGGTAAAATGTTTTACTGGAAGTATACTTTTTTGGAAAAAAGATTCATGAAGCCTGTAGGTGCTGCCTCTGTCACTCAAACTTTAAAAATTTTAACATTTTCAAAGTGCCCACCACGTATATATAAGAACACGTTTTATGGAGATTGTACAGGTTGCTTTTTTGTTTAAATCTTTGAAAGAATTTAGTCTTAACATTTTCTGATTTTAAAATTTTAAAATCTTGTTTAAGGAAACTTTTGTGTATCAAGATACTGTTCTCCTTTCATTGCAGAGTTTATAAAAATTCATTCCTTGAAAAATATGGATCCTTTTTAATACTACAACATTTGTACTATGTTACTTTTTAATATATTAAAAACATAAAAGGAGGAGTGTGTCTTATTTTTGTAACATCACTACAGAGACATTGCATACAAAAAAAAATTAGCAACATACTTTATTCCATGATTGCTAGGTGTTAAGAATGGTAGTTCTTTAACTTAGAGCATCCTGACATACATCTTTTGTACATATCAAACCTGATGTTTCAGAATTAGATTTTCAGTGATTCTGAATTATAGTTTTATAGATTCCTGATTATAGTTTGGTGCACTGTAAACTAATTTAGTCACCTCCCCTGGTCTCTAGTAGGAGTTTACATTCACTCAGATTTTGTTTCTAAATGCATCTAGTTTTTCTTTAGGTAAATGGAGCTATTCAGCTACTCAGCATAGAGTTAGGAAAAAAGTTCTATTTGCTCAAGCAGTTTAGTAGTAGGATTTGTTTCTGATGAGTCTTATTTTAAGTTACCTATGAAAACTTAGGTTTGTAGATACTAACAAAGTTTAATACTACTTTATTATAACTTATCTACAGGTGAGCTTCTTTCATACTGCTTCGCAGGTTATCTTAACTCAGAATAATCTTTCTAGGGGGAACCTTGTGAAAGTCCCAGTGAATTTTTTCCACGTTAGCTTCACTCAGTTGAAAGTAACCAAACTAAATCCATGTATTGTGTAAAGGAATAGAACAGCACAGCCTTAAAAAATTGAATACAGTTGGTGAGACAACTCAGATATCTAAGTACAGGTTGAATATCCGTTACCCAAAATAGTTGGGACCAACAGTGTTTTGGATTTTGGAATATTTGCATTATACTTACTTGTTAAACATCCCAAGCCCAGAAATCCAAAATGCTTCAATGACCATTTCCTTTTCTTAGAGCATTTTGGATTTCTGGATTTGGGATGCTCAACCTGTACTGAGAGCTACAAGAAAAGAAAGGAATAAGAAATTACTGTTGCGAGAGAGCAGTTTCTCTTAGAGCAGCAGTCCCCAGCCTTTCTGGCTTCAGGGACCCGTTTCATGGAAGACAATTTTTCCACGGATCAGAGATTGGGGGGATGGTTTCAGGATGATTCAAGCACATTACATTTATTGTGCAATCAAACGTCTCTGCTAATGTTAATCTGTATTTGCAGCCTCTCCCCAGCGCTGGCATCACCACCTCAGCTCCACCTCAGGTTATCAGGCATTAGATTCTCGTAAGGAGTGAGCAACCTAGATCCCTCGCATGCACGGTTTGCAGTAGGGTTCGAGCTCCTATGAGAATCTGATGCCCCCACTAATCTGACAGGAGGCAGGGCTTATGCGGTGATGTGAGCAATGGGGAGCAGATGTAAATACAGATGAAGCTTTGCTCGCTCACCTGCTGTGTGTCCCGATTTTCTAACAGGCCTTGGACCAGTACTGGCTCTGGGATTGGGGACCACAGTCCTAGAGTGTTTTCCATGGAACGCTAGTCTTATAAAATAAGAATTCTTTAATTAAATGCTTGGAAGACATTGTGTATTAATAATGTGTGACTTTCTCTTTGAGAGTCAACAGCACTATTAAGTTTTGACAAGTACTACGGCAAAGAAATCTCTTTATACTTAATATGTTCCACTGTTCCCCATCCAAAATAAAAAATTTTTATACTACTAATTATGTTGTGTATGCCCACTTTCCCCGTAGTCACTGCTGCCATCCTAGAGTGTGCAATTTATCTTGAGG